CTGAGTGACCCCTGAGTGACCGAGTGACCCTGAGTGACCCCTGAGTGACCCTGAGTGACCCCTCAGTGACCCCTGAGTGACCCTGAGTGACCCCTGAGTGACCCCTGAGTGACCCTGAGTGACCCTGAGTGACCACTGAGTGACCCCTGAGTGACCACTGACCACTGAGTGACCACTGACCCACAGGTGACCCCTGTCCTGGGTTTGGTGGCCCTGCTGCTGCTCCTGGCCGTGGTCAGTGACCCCCCCCGGGGTGGCCTGGAGGCTCCTCCGGCCACTGCCCCGCCCCTCCCCCACCGCTGGAGCCACGACCTGCGGCTGCTGGCCAGAAAGTGAGTGACCACTGAGTGACCTCTGAGTGACCACAGGATGGTCTGAGAGTGATCAAGTGACCATGGGGTGATCTCTGACACCTGAGTGACCACTGAGTGACCACTGAGTGACCGCTGACCACTTGTGACCACCCGAGAGCAACCACCTGAGAGTGACCACTCAGGAGTGACTGAGTGACCCCAAAGTGACCACCAGAGTGACCACCCAAGTGTCTGAGTGACCACTGAGTGACCACTGAGTGAACACTGAATGAACACTGAGTGACCTAGTGACCATTGACCTGTGAGTGACCGAGTGACTACTGACCACTGAGTGACCATTGAGTGACCAGAGTGACTACTGAGTGACCATTGAGTGACCATTGAGTGACCCCAAAATGACCAGGAGCGACCCAGGAGTGACCCCGTGACCTCAGGATGACCCCGTGACCCCAAAGTGACCCCAGAGTGACCCCGAAGTGACTTCACCTGTGAGTGACCACTGAGTGACCACTGACCACTGACCTCAGAGTGACCACTGACCTGTGAGTGACCTCCGAGTGACCACTGAGTGATCACTGAGTGACCATTGACCTGTGAGTGACCACTGAGTGACCACTGACCACTGACCTCAGAGTGACCACTGACCTGTGAGTGACCTCCGAGTGACCACTGAGTGATCACTGAGTGACCAT